TAACTGGGTTTTGAATTAAAAACTTTATAGCTATCATGTCTTCTTTATCATTGACAGCATATTAATGTTCAGGGTCCAGCGCAGATTTGAATTTACAAATTAATATTCCAATTAATTTAAATGTCTCAGACTTACACCAAAGTTCATAATGAAATGATTTAGGTATAACTAAATAATGCTTTAACCATATCCTATCTTTGTTTGACTTTTGAAAATTTTTGAAGATTGAGTAATCTTTAAACTGGATTAAGCCTAATTTTGATATAATAATGTTGGTGCAAGTGGCCATTAATCTGATATCATTTTAAATTATCTATTACAATTTATGTAATTATAATAAAAATAACAACAGCACATAACAACGATATAGTGGTGTCAATTCTATTATGATTCTGTAAACCTAAAACTAAATTTGACAACAGTGTATCCTTGTCATAAGAGTATGCCAAGGATACACTGTTGTCAAATTTGTATAGAGATAAAGAATGAAAAGGAGAGACTGATGTTAAATTTAGTTTTAATTTTAGAGAATTACGTTAGAATCGATACCACTGTTTATCTGGACAATTCTCTAATCTCAAGAAGTATTTTGTTACTAAGTATATTGTTAACATACTCTGCAGAGTAGTGTTTCTTAAAGAAATGGCCCATGAACCCCTATGGGGTCCATCCATGCACTGAAGAGTAGGATTTCATACAGTGGGTCCAACACCTTTCTGAATATCCTCAGTAGCTGAGTTAGTTAACTCTCAACATTTCATAAAGTTATTAATTTACTAATTGGCTATTTGGCAAGTTTTTAAAAACGTTCACACATGATTTATCAGTGATAGTAACTCTATGAGAAGTGATATTTATAATTCTGTTGAATATATCAGGCAAAAAACGAAAATAAAAATTATGAATGATGAAGGGATATGAATATTTAATAGTACTCATACTTTTTCATAGATAATACCCGATGGATATATTTTTTCAAGTATAGGTTGTGTGTTCCATACATTTTTCGGAGTTGGAAAACCATCAGCGAAAAGATGCACCTTGAGATGTAACATAAGTGTAAATCCTACTTCTAAAATTTGATCCAATCAGGAGTCCATATTTCACATTGGTTGCACACAAAGAGTTTTGGAGTTTTATAGTGTTTTAAATCGATCTTTGAAACATACAACTTTAAAGAAAATTATAATTTTAACATATAAAATCAAACGCGTTTCATGTGATAAAATCGCGAAGAAGAAATAACTAATGATATCATAAAGACTCTGGCATGTTGTAAGTTACAAACGAGCTCATCGTCACGGGCCGGATTTGGTCGACAATAACATAAATACGTCGATAAATAATCCAGAACCTTTTCGGACACGCGAACCGCGGGCCCCATTAAAATCGTCCATAATTCAACTGCGATCGAGTTTTCAGCTCCCTAGTCTATGACACACTCGCTAAATCTCTGGAAGGCGGTGTTCGGAGGCAATAAATTTTTATTCTGTAAATAAAAATAATAAAAATAAATAAAAGCCACCGGTTCCCGCGCACCGCGCCGCCGCCGGAAACATTTGTCCGGCCGCGTCACGTATAATCCGGGGGACGTTTGATTTATTATTAATTAGTTCACAATTTTATAAACGAATTTTTTAATCCACCTGTATGCAAAGGTATATGTTATTGTTTTACTGAGCCGCATTGATGATTGCGCGTTTTTATTATGTCAATATGATATTTTTAAGGGTCTTTTGATTTATGGAGACCTATTTTTTACCCAGAGTATTAACAAACAAATCGAATTAGGTAGATGTATTGTTTACTTATACTGTTGTTGCTTAGTTAGGAAAGTTGCATCGTTTCATTAACCTGCAAAAGAAAGGTAAAATGATAGATTCATTTATGAATATTTCAAAAATACCCATTGATATATTATTTCTATAGATATGTTACGTACATTGTAATTGCGACTATGTTCCAACTTTAAAATGTTTTCTTGTGCATAGAGTAACATTTATTAGTCGTACAGACGCTCCAATTGGCCTGTTTAAGAGTCCTCACAGCGTACGCGCTTATGACATGTCTGTTTTTATATAATATCATTGAGTATACCATTGTGATTTGTGTTTTCAGTGCAGACTTTGTAATAAACTGCTTATGTATTTGTTGTGCATGGATATATTTCTAAATGTTTTTTGCTCTGCAGGCATTGAATTTTATATTTAGTAAATGGCTCTACATTTTTGTTAAGAAATTCAAGAACAATAGAATAATTAGCATGTGTGATTTTTCCTGTACCTATAAGTAAGTGTAAATATAAAAACTTGAAGTTACAGTTTGCTTTGCTTTTTTTAATATAGCAAATATTTTGACTGCTTAGACTAGGTTGGTAATGCATTCTTATACTGCGTGGCATTGAAATCAGCACCGCACAGACTATTCAAGTGAAAGCCGTGTTTTTTTTTCAAACAAATCCTCGATGAGAACGTTTTTGTCAGGCAACATAGAAGCAGTTGCATCTATTATGCAATCGCTCGTAAATCTGTCTCAACTGGCAGACGTAATCTGTCCTTTATGACGAGTGATGCATCGCCCTCATTGTTTGTGACTACTCATAAATTTGAAACTCTCTTTTTTTCTTTAAAATGTACCGTTGCGGAGTGTTACATTGTTTTCGGATCGGTTATGGACGATAAATTTTGGTAGATAGTTAAAATAACCTTGTAAATTAAATTAGTGATTGCTTGAAATAAAATGTGCATGTAAATTGTTTCTTTTGATTTTATTACGAATAAAATTTACAATCAACAAATAAGTAAAAAGGTGGGAGTCCGCATCTGTACAATACTGGTAGGAAATGCGAAAAATAAAGAATAAAATGAGCGGTTCTCATGTCCCCATTCCAGAGTAGGCGAAAAATAAAAAAAAAAACAATCGAGTGGGATTTGAAAGAATTTCAAAAATGGAACGTTTTAATTTTCGTGAGACGCGCGACGGACGCGACGTAGATGGACGCAGGGCCGGGGCGCGGGGCCCCGCTTGGTGCGTACGAGTAACAGCCACGCACGCCATAAATCTGTCACGAGTCGGCCCCCCAGCGACGCCTTGGACCGTCCGCACGGCATCAACCATACTTTTTTTCTCCCCAAAACTCTATTCTCATAATTACTCGGTATTGATTAAGAAGTGATACCCTGTTGTTCGTTCGCTGCTGTTACCATTTTTTTATACATATTTCAACCGTAGTCCTCATAACAGTAATATATAAAAAACTACCCTAATATATATATTATATGAATAAATATTGACTTTACGGTTAATACATTTTTAGAAAATGTTACATCACTTCCGATATTCTTTCTAATTTATTTTTTTCATAATTGATCATGTTTCTTTTATTGAGCAAAATAACAGTTATTATCTTTGATAACTTCTTTGAGGTTCTGTGAATTTTGACTACGGTGGGCAGGTAATTGATACACGATCAAGTCACCCTAAATTGAAATGTTGCAGGCATCATTCATCGCGATGGCTTGGATAGATACATTTTTTTGTTAAATTAAGTACACACGTACGGCCTATTGAAATACCTTGACTTTTAATGTGCAGAAATACCTACTCCTTTTATAAATTAATTTGAACTAAATACACGTGTTATTTATTCCATAGCTTTCATGATCGAATGCTTGTAGACATTCCAAGCTTAAAGTCGTCTTTTTTTCGTAAATGATGATCCAGGTATTTCCACACAAGGTAAGCTATTTTAAATATTTTTATTTTTAAAGTCTGTTTTTTATTTTATATTAATAAATCACACAAGGCTTATTTCTGTGATATTTATTTTCTTATCGAATTATAAGCTCAAGTCAAAGTTTGTCTATTAAATTTCAGATTTAAATCGGATGCTCTATACAACTTTTTTGAACTATCCAACAGATACTTAACATACTTTTATTATGACTTGTTATTAACTTGCCGTTGGTTGGTCTTTTTAATCTACATTTTTATATTGTTTTCATTTTTTTTCTGCCAGTACCACAAGAAGGTCGCAGTGGATCAACGCTGTACGCACTCGCGACGTTCGAGTCGAGCTGACGATGAAGAAGTGCTACAGCGGAGTTAAACACTAGGAAAACGGGAAAATAAACGACTCCAACCGCTTTGCTAAACTTTCCTGGCTGGTAGACCGAGCAACCGTGTGTTTTACAATAAATTAAAAAAAAAACTCAGCATTTGGCGCCATTTTATTGAGTGACATATTGGTGTAGTGTTTTAAATATTTTCGAATTAATTAAGATATTTTGGTGTTGAATTGGTGTGGTTTTGTTTCAAAACTCTACACAGCAATTACAATATCATTGAAATAGAGGTAAATTTGGTCAAGAAAAAGTGAAAATTTGACTGATTGACTAACTCGTTGAAGATTACTGAGTAAGCTGTATGCAATTTGGTTTTAAATTTTAATTAGGTAAAAAAATAGATGGCAATTCAAGTGTAGGTATAACAAATAAGAGAAATACTAGAATAATGTAGGTACGACTAAATATGATTATTTAAGATTTAAATAGGTATCTTAAGTCTCATTTTGATATGTCACTAAGGCCGCGTTGTTTGACACATAGTTGAATTTAACTATGGTCAACGTCAAAAGTACTTAAATGTTTTAAATTTGAACAAATGGTTATCTTTTCTTCAATATTTTAACTTAAGTCAAATTTAACATTGTTGCAAACAACGGCTTAAGTAGCAGCAAGAACTATTACAAAAAACAAAATCACAAGTAATATTATTCAGTTCATAAGACATGTCAAAATTTTAATGAAAGTTTTATAGTTCAACTCCAAACTTATCAAGATAAAGTGTAGCGACTAGACTAAAATCAATAAATAAAGAGATTTCTAATACAAGTTAGAGATCCCCTTGTTTACGATAGCCCCGCGGCGGGCGTGTCGGGGCTACGAGACTCATAAAATAAACAATGCTTTATCTTAAATTTTCGACAATTCCAAACTAACCTTCAATTATCGAAAATGACATACGTCTAGCGGCACTTTGTAAACTCCGCCCCCGCTACCAGCGCCATCTGTTGACGCGCGGCCGCCAACAGCAGCTGTCAACAAAGCGAGAATGTTTCGAGGTTATGTTTCAATAATCTTGTTTTAAAGGTAGTTCCTATTCACTAGAAACGTTCACACAACCATATTTCAATGTAATTCTACATTACACAAACAATTATTTGTATCGTTTCCTTCAAAAATCTCTATTAGCTGTGTACACGATGTATGGAGATACAGACACATTGTGAACAATAACATTATCATTTATGATTTTCCCGTTCAAAATTGTCGCACGATAAGATAAATAACTTTAAATTGTACACTATGTAACATAATTACAATAGTATAACAACTCACCAGGTTCAATTTTGGGTGTAAATGTGAAAATCACAGCAGCTACGTGGTTGTGACTCAGTACGCCTTGCACTACAGACAGTGTGTTGCGTTCCGGATTTAGCCGAGCGCGCTCGAGCGAGGCCCGTCCCTCGCTCGGCCCGCCCTACAGTTTGACGGAAAGCACTGACAATCTGACACAGCGGCAGACGCGCGAAACGCGCCGGATGTTTTGTACGCGCGGCGCGAATTACAAACGCTCGGAATGCGAGCGGCACGGCACGATTTGAAATTCGAATGACAACAAATTTTAAAAATTAGACCTCGAATGTGGGTATGCAATGACGTCATTATTAAGGAGATTATATATAAGCTCCAAAGCTATGTGCGCTAAAATGTATTTAGTAAAAACTCTTGACATTGTTTAATAATATTATTATTATAATTTATGAACTTACAAAGACAAAGTGCAAGGTGATAATATATAAAGTCTATAAGCAGATGCAAATTATTATTTTGATACAAAATTTTGTGCTTTGAATGATGTGTGTTTGTGGTATATTTTGAGAAGTAAATAAATTATTGAAAATAAAAGGTGGATGAGGGGCCGTGTAACCGGTCGGCAGCGGATTTAAATCGGCGAGCAGGTAAGTTGGACAATGGCCATCCAGCCACGATACGTTTAATTAAACATTACAAATAAAACAAAGCGGCCGCCGGCTCGCGACTACTCGGACGATATATCTGCGACTTGGAAAAATGCTGCTGTATGTATTTTTTTTTGTTACTTTTGTCTTGTCAATGCTGCTTTGTACTCTTTCCTATGTATAACTTTTACTTAAATTCTATACTTAATAACAATAAACATTTAACTTAGAGCAAAACGAAGAGATCTAAATTCCACAAAACGGTTTCAGTGTTTTCTCTGCTCGATAACAGATGGCGCTAGCAGTCCCAAGTTATGATAAAGTTATTATTTTGTTAGCAAATTTACTTTTCTTTTGTTTTAAATTCATACCATAATAAATTGACACTTTAACAGCGTATTTATTTCAAATTTAATAATCATAAATACTTAAATTACATAAATCAAAAAGGTAGTTATAAGTAGCTTGCGATCGAAATTTCACATAAAATATTTTAATACTGTTTAAGGATAGATGATTTTAGATAACTGCTCAGTTTCTTCCATAATTAAAAAAAATATTGAGATCATTTTTATAAATTACGCTGCATTCAGACTACATATTTATTTATCGTGGAACAAATATTATTGCCACCATTATTATTTGTTCTAATTTGCATGTTTGTGTGTCGTGGAAATTGGAACAACAAAAAAGGTTTTTTTTAATTTAAAACAGTGACTGATGAAGATAGAAGACAGTCTCAGAATTTTTTATAAATAAATAAATTTAAAGATAGTATAAAAAAGCACTTCATAAAAAAGCTTATTACAAAGTGTCTGATTATATTACAGACAAAAATGCTTGGGTTTGAACTGTTCCAATCATTCCATCAGGTTTTCTATATTAAATAAAAACATAATTGTATTGACGTTGTAACAACATAATGATTTGTAAATGTTGACATAGACTTTTAATGTTGTAGTTTTTTTTTCGCTCGTTTTTCTCCGCAGCTAAAAAATATGTCCATAACGAGTGGTAGGGAAAAAAATTTGGACGATTCAAAAGAGTTGTACTATACATCCAATTTGAATAAAGATATATTGATTGCTGATTTCTGATTCTGATTTTAATAAGACCATCTATTTTAAATCAGCCGGCTTATAGGATCAATTAATAAATAAATCATCTCAAATGCAAATTATAATATTCGAAAACCTTTTGGCATTTCCTTTGTGTTTATACTCATATGTATTGTTAACCGTAAATGATACAAAAACTGCTAAGTTTTACTGTTTACAACGCAAATTGTATTTTTAAAGGAATATATTTAAATGAACTTAGAAAGTTAACCTATACAACTGCATCGTAAATATAGTGATGAATAATTATATGACTTCATTAGTTATGTCATATTGAAGTCATTTTTCAATTTGACGACTCTTTATATAATACAGGGAGAAAAAAACAGCCATTGCTGAGTTTCTTGCCGGTTCTTCTTCTGTACACGGTCTCCCGCCGTTGATTTGCGAACCGATGGCGTAGTTTTTCGACATTCACAAGTGCTTGTAAAAGCCGAGACTGAATGAACGATATTGAATTTTTTGAAATTTAGTTTTTATATCCAGTACAGAGTACCCGACCAGTTCTTTTGTGAATCTTTTAAAAATGATTATACATAATTGCAGGCCATTTAATATGTTTAAGCATTCAAGATTTTTTTTCGACACCCCACGTAGGTTTTAATAGCGGTAGAGCATTTGCACAGATTGCTATTATGTTAGCTCAAGTGCAGTCGGTAACGTTGGCCACGTTTTTATTTACTAATATTTATTTCTTTTCAACGTAACAAGTCTAAGCCTATTCCTTAACGGGGACAGTGTTTATTCCATAAACTGTTGCTTGTGGATATTGATAAAGCGTTAACGGTGCAACAAATTATGATAAATATTGGATAGAGTTGAGTAAGTTTATCATATCTTTATTTAAGGCATTTAATCTGTTCGATTTGTAAATCTAAGGAAAACTTCCTGCCTGAAAACCTTGGGCCGGTTGTATTTCATCATCATCATCATCATCAGCCTATAAATGTCCCCACTACTGGGGCACAGGCCTTCCCTATGGATGGAATAGGGAGATTGGGCCAGGACCCACCACGCGGGCCCAGTGCGGATTGGTGGGTGCTAACGTTGAATAACGTTGTAGTTGAATTTAATCAAGTAGAATTTTAAGCACAGAGTCAAATATTTTTTTCTGAATACAATCGTGGTGAGTTTGTAAAGCCGTGCACCAAAAATATTCTATCCCTTTGGAACATCACAGTGTATTACAGAAGCACAAATTCTATGTTTACCTATTTCACTTATTCCAGTGTCGGTTTTAGAAAATTACTTAAAAATCTCTTTGTCTCAGTTTTTCTCAAAGGTTCTTCAAACAACCGGCTGGTTGAGTGAGTGAAAAATAATGACAGATATAAATGATAAATAAATATTTCCAACACTCACACCAATTAGCCTAGCCCCAAAGTAAGCACTGTAGGCTTGTGTTTTGGGATACTAGGGTAACGGATGGAATAGATATATGTATAAGTATATTTATATAGAAAAACATATTAAATATCCATGACTGGAGTACAAATGCTCGTATTCATCACACAAACATCTGCCCCCACCGGAATTCGAACCTAGGACCTCTCGGGTCGGCGACACCATGAAACCCGGCCACGGAGGTCGTCAAAGGTAGTGTGGAGGCTAAGGACTGTATTTTAATTATTATTAGAGAAAATAAAACAGTGGTGGCAGTGACAAGGTAAAACAATCTATTTAATGTCAAAGAATAACAAAAACTCAATAAAAAAAGTATCAAAAACTCATAGACAAAACATAGTGATATAAAAGGTGCGCTGTCCGGCACAGGTAGGATTTCAAAAAAGTGGGAATAAAATGATAACACCCATGTCAATATTATTGCGATTTGGGGATCAAATTTAAGAAATCTCTTAGCTTATATTGTTTTAAACTTTTATGGTCAGTAACATTATAGTAATATAAGTTATTTACGGGATTGTTACCATGTTCCTTGTTTTTAGCGAGTTTCCGATATTTCGGCACTGTTGCAAGCGCCATGATCACGGAGTAACTGAAGTTATTGCGGGTAGGCTGTTATTGGCAGACATATCGGTCGGGGTATCGGAAACTCGCTAAAAACAAGGTACATGGTAACAATCCCGTAAATAACTTATATTACTATAAACAAGCTTAATCTAGCAATTGGAACATTAATCAGAATTAAATATAGCAAGTCGACGAACATATAAACAAACGAGACCACCACACCTACCTACTTATTTATTTAGAAGCAAACCGAAACGCGACTAACAAAAATAATATAATTTCGAGCGATTCATTTAAAAGTTTTTTCCTTGATGACCTCCGAAGATCGGACTATTTATACCGGGATGGTAGATTCTCCCGACGTTGGCAACACTAACTGTGCCCCAACGAGGCAAAGTTAGATTGCAGGGGTATAATAGGCCCCAATCTCGCTCCAGATGAGAGCTACCAAGCGAAGTGACGATATTTTTTTTGGCGATGTAATTTTGCAGAGGTAAATAATATTGTTGGGTTTTTTTTAAACATTAAACCAAAACAAGCAAGGGCGGCGCCTTGGTGTTGGATATTAAAACAAAAGAGAATGGCAACCGCGGCCAACTGCATTGTATTTTTGTATTTTTTTTCATATTGCGTTAACAATGTTTTTGACGTGACAACGTCTTATAATTCGATGGAGCCGGCTGCACGCACGAAATAACATGACTCATGCGGCGTTACCTCGCTCTGAGGCGTTCCATTTAAGGCTTGAAGTGCAAGCGAGAGCGCGCAGCGAGCGACAAAGAGGCACAATCGGCCTCCGCGTTCGGCAGCGTTCAACATCTGTCCCTCTCCTACTTGAGTGAGCGATGCGTCCACGTGGACAGCTGCTATACAATAATAGATTTACATGTTTTCGTCAAGTATGAAGTGCAGTGAAAAGTGAATGTGGTGTCAATTGTTTATAGCAACGATAGTTGCGGCGATAGAGGTAATGATATCACACATGTTTAAAAGTTGTAAAACAATTGCTCAAAGCACATTCATACTTGTAAAAGCTATGTACATTGTAAAAAAACGTTGTCACGTTCAACTATCGTTAGTAAACCGACTTTACAGACAACCGATTTTTTTTGTAATACATACAGCCTAATCTCCGTGGACACGTATCACCACGACATGCATGCCTTATGAATGCATTACTAAGATACAGCTACGTGATTGAAGTAGGTCTTGCTTATTAAATAATTAAACAAGGTTACTGTAAGTGTCTCGTACACCCTCTTTATTTCTTTTATCATTTGTTTTTTATGATAATTATGCATAATTATAGTGCTTTTCCATGGTGGTTGATGAAGCTGATACTAGCAGACATTGTAGCAGACACATCCAGCAGCGCAGCAAATGTTCTAGTTTTTCTTATTTATTTAAAAGTAAAGAAAACTATTTGTT